TCTCCAGCGGCAGCCATTGTTGTTGTCACCCAAATGCGCTTTGGTCACGTGGTTGATTACGTTACTGTTGATCATCTGTCCATCATCGTATAAAGCCCGCCCTGACAATTTGATTGGCCCGCCAGATATTGGGCAAGCATACTCGCGCTGCTATTGAGCAATGCCAGACCGAACTTCCCGACCTCAAACGTTGTGGGCGGGACTAAGTTCGGAATGGCACCCAGGCTAACTTAGAGCAGCAATTATACCAAAATTGTAAAAAAAATATATATTTAAAATACATTTAAGATAAAAAAAAATGTTTTTATCGGTCAATATGCTCTATCCAGAACTCCTCAAGTAGAAAAGTTCTAGTTTTATCTGGTTTAATTTTGTATAAAAATCTTCTTTAAGGAAGATTATCCGATTATTAATCGATTAATCGAAAAAATAATCGACATATTAATCGATTTGCAAAATAGTCGTTAGTTGCAGCCCTAATTGAAAAACCGTTTTAGCATCTATAGATGCCTATTAACAAGACCGGTCACCTCTGTGAGCCGTTCTGAGAACGCAGTTAGCTGTGCTCTACGTTCTGTTTGTCATAAAGAGCTGAAATGGAGAGTTCAGGCTTCCCAATCCTTGAAATGACTTCAAGGAAATTTTGTTTTGTTTGATGCGCGTCGAGCAGCAGAAGTTTAGATTTTCTGACTCCAGCTTTGGACGATGGGCAGTTGAAAGTTAATGGAGCAGTCGGGTCATATTCAGAATTCAAACTGCTGAAAGTAGTTTTAATATTAAACTATTACATACTGTTCAATGTATGATAAGTGTTTTTAATTTAGAGTAATTTTTATTTGAATTTGCTTTACTGGAGGCATCCATGTTTGTCAAAGAACACTACTGCCACCTACTGGTTTGTGACGTCACTGTGCGGTGTCGGCTGTTGATCAAGTCCCAGTGCTGTATCTGGTGTTTGTCACAACGCGCTATTATCCAAGTCATCTTGAAAACATTCTTCTTCCAAATGTTGGCTACATATTACGTGTTTTTTCTCTGGCCAGAAGTTCGATGGCAAATCCTCCCTCTTCAAGTTGGCAATCCAACGACGAACCCGTCTGTGTTGGATCGTGAATCAGAAAGGTGTAATAACATATTTTTTCTTAACTTTTATCCAATGTATTCCAACATCCAACTGCCATGCATGTGGACATTGTCAGTTCTGGTGAATTTCAATGGCGAAGTCCTCTGGAAATCTTAAATAACTGTTGTTGATTTCAGATGTGACTAGTAGTTCCCATTGATTTTGTAAAAACGATGTCATGCCCAACGCTTCAAAATGCATCATGGAGTGCGGTTTCTTTCTGAATACTAACAGATTTTAGTTAATTTTTCACATCTTTACTTCTTCTCATCTTTTTAATACATATTCTAGGAATCTGTGGTTAGAGATAATATGGAGACTTCTAAAACGCTGAGTAACAATTGACTGAGTTTTTAGCTTAATCTAAGATACCTTAAAGCAGGGGTCTTCAACGTTTTCCAGCCAAAGGACCCCCGAACTGATGGTGAGCTGAAGCGGAGACCCCCTAATTATATAAATTGTATGAAATGATGTTCTTTCAAACTGGCCCTACAGTCAGTGTATTACAGATGGAGTAATGTAACTAAAGTAATTCCTCCCTGGGATTATTAAAGTATTTCTGGTTCCTTGTTGATGGGACAGGTGTTGTGAATGAAACGGTGCCCAGCTTGAAAGAGCTCCTGTGTGTCGCTGAATGTGTGCATTAATGACTGAAAGACATATTCTGCCTACATTTATCTGTTTACTACAGTCTGTTGAATTCATGTTGATGTGGATTTAAAGACATTTCAATAAGTCGAAAAAATTACAAAATTATATAAAAAAAAAGGTCTAATCAACCACAACTTTTGCGACCCCCATGCAGTACCACCGTGGACCCCCTAGGGGTCGCGGACCCCTGTTGAAGACTTCTGCCTTAAAGGAATGTTTTAGGTCTGTAACATGTGAGGGCTGGATTCATCACCAAATAACTCATGTGACCCAGAGCACTGCTTAACTGCAGTATAAGCTAGAGGTGTAAATCACACCCATCATGGCGATTCGATTCAGTATCGATTTCCTGACCCAACGATTCGATTATTTTCGATACTCAAGAATACACCATGATTCGATTAATCGGCAATTTTTTTTATTTTTTTTTTATACACCTTACAGGCTAAACAAACTTTCAAGTTTGAAATAGATCAGTGAAAGCTGTAATATCGTTATGCATTTTTTTTTAGAAACAACAGCAAATAACAGAAGTAGAAACGTTGCATCAAAAAATACTGCAATAATACTGCACATAATCAGTGCAATGAGTTCAATGCAATACCTCAGCTCCAGACGTCCCGCCCCCTCCCAGACGCTCCGCTGCTCCTCTCCCAAATTGTAGCTGACCGCAGACAGTGCCGCAGACAGGAGGCCGGCTTGTTTTGTTTTTATGACCGAAATTGCAGAAAAGAACTCGTGAAGTTTGACCCGCTAGAAGAGTGAGGTGCGCGAGAACACTGGGACCCTTTTTCCACCTGGATCTCCGCTCTTTTTGGCCCTCATGTCCCTCCGTCGTTTGACTAAACTCGCCCCCACTTCCTCGCCGCCTCGGCCGTATCTAGACCCACAGTGTCTAGCACAGACCACGGTTCAATATTGAGCATAATTTAAAAATGTCTGTGTCAAGCTCACTGCAAACACTGCTGCAGGAGGATAACCAGGAAGCGAGGTAGGAGGGCAAAATAGGTTTAGCGCCATCGCAGCACGGGAGGGAGAATTACGCCCAGGAGCAAAATGGATAAAAGTAGACCGGAGGGGAAAAAAACATGAATCGATTCTCTTGCGGACGTTTCGATGCATCGGATCGTCGGCTGTTGGATCGATGCATCGATACAAAACGTTTATTATTTACACTCCTAGTATAAGCTTCCCTCGATGTATTATTGGGTCTTTTGATACAATGGTAATGATTTTTTTTTTGAGTATATCCAGTACCAGCCTGGATATACTCTTACTATGAAGCCTCGTTTTCATTCTTGGCCATATTTTTGGCCTTGTCATTATTAGTGTCAGTGATGTGCGTTGATCTAAGGAGTATTTTTAAGTCAGATACAGTTCTCCGTGTCATCCTTTGTATAAAAGGTTCTGCTTTGAAGAGATTCTAGGGGTCTGTCAGGTGCTGCTTCTCTTATCTGCTGATATTTGAAGATCTTTTCTCAGAGGAGTGTGAAGTCCACGATAAAACCTGGAGCTTTTATTACTAGAGGTGTTAAGGATCATGAATTGATGTCTGTGACACAGACTGCAGCATAAAACTTAGAGAAGATTAATTTATTTTAACCTTGAAAAGGCGTAAAGAAGATCTTGTCATGAAGTGACCCCTTAGAAAGATGGCCATAAAGTTTGTTTTTTTTACATAGGTTTAAAATCTGGCGTCACACCTTTAAGAGAAAATGAAGTCATTTTTTCCGCATATTTTATTAATTTAACCACATTTTCAATATTTTTCTTTGTGTTTCAGACTATTTACTTTTAAGACTTTAGATGAAGTTATTTTATTTAACTCCAGGTCCATTTATACCCTTGAACCCCATGTTTTCCCAGTCAAGGCTACTTCATTTACCTGTAAACCAACAATTTCTTACCTTTGTACGTAACTAAGGTTGTTTAAAAGTATATTTTCATGTGTACTGCAGACTGTGCAGATATTGGAAACATACTTGGAATCACTGGTTGTTACAGAAGGTACCAAATGTCCACAGGTCCGACCTGAACAAATGATTAAAATGATTGGAAAACCGATTTAAAGGAGAGAAATTATGAATAATTTGCACCTTTTCTAGGTTAGCATGGTTTCCTAATAAGATGTTAGCAAAATAGACATGAACAGCTGTGCACATTTAGCAAATGGAAAATAAAGGGAACTGTAAACGTTAAAGTAGTACTAGGTGGGCTTTTTCTAATTGAGATATTGTGTAAGATTAGTGTCTATGCAGCATGTCATAGCAGAAGGAAAAAGGGGTTTTCCAAAGTTTAATAAGATTAATCTGTGGATTCTGAGGCGTGTTACAGTGTCAGAACTGCTGGGTTTTACCATTTTTAATCCTTTTTTAACTACGACTGTGATCAAGCAAATTAATCACTTCGTCAGAATCACGCTACAGTTTCTTTGTCAGTTTTCTCTGTTCAATAAATGCAAAAGTTTGGGTGAGTTCCTTTGTAGGTTTATTAAACCTGAAAACATAACAAGCTGTATTTCAATTCTGTTCTAATAAAGCAAATTCATGAAATATATAACAGTTTTCTTCTAATAAATGTTTATAAAAATCCTAGACATTTATTAAAGTAGAGTTTAAATGGGTTTATGTACTTCGATGAGACTCACAAAGCTGGTTTTTGATGTTTTATTATAATTAGGAATTTATTTTGAACTGTTGGGAAAACATCAATGCATGTTTGTTGTTACTTTGAGGATGTAATGAAAGGGTTTTGTTTCTCAGCTTGGCAACTGAATTAAAAGATCTAGTAATTTGATTATTAAAGAACAGAGGGCGGTATGTTTTGTTTAAAGCGATTTGTTTCTGTAAAATTAAACCAGGGATGCAGAGTATGCCAAGAAAAACATCAGTATTGGTGATGATGTCAGCCTTTTATCTGCATTTTGGGGATTTGTTTGATTACGGGAGTAAAGCAATATTAGCAGAGTGGTGTTTTCTTTCACAGAGGCTGAAAAAAAAAATCTAGACGTTTGATATTATTTATTGACAATGAAGTGATATTGACATCTGATATCAATATCAAAGTTTATATCTTGGTGTATTTCTAGAAGCCGCGTTATGTTTCCTTATTGTTTGTCCAACACAGGTGCTTTAAAACCGAAGAGATATGTTTTCTGATTATGTCAAAGAATCATCTGTGATCTAGATGTCAGCGCATTGGATTGTGTTTTTGTTTCATTCTGCAGCACGGAGCTTCTCAGGAGGACTTCATCCGCGGCAGCCGGGAGAAGAATGTGCGGGACGTTGTGTACGACATCGCCAGTCAGGCTCACGTCCACCTGGAACACGTATGTAAAAAAGCATTAAAATAAGGCTAACATAAACAGAGTAATTTATATGAAAGTGAAATGAAAGGGTAGATTTCAAACTCTCAACAGATTATATAAGGGAAATATTATCTGGAGGCGGCCAATCCAAACCAGCACAGGTTCGGCTACACAAAGACATTAAATTAGAAGATTGTTTTGTTTTTTGTTGCCAGGATCGACGGAGCACAATTAGAAGTTTAATCCCAAATCTGCTGCCACTGCCAGACTAAACTAAGCAGAGCTCTAGACAGCTCTGGTTTACAGTAATATAACCAGGGGAGTAGACAGAAAAAACCCAATCAAACATGCTTCTGAGTGCAGCGGACACTTCTTTCCAGGTCAATTATGGGGAATAAAATATTGACGTTCATTGGTACGGATTCTGGTCTGCTTAAGTAATGTTTCTCACCCAGCTTAGCAAGTGCAGTTTGTTGTCAAAACATAGTTTTTTCTTTTGTTTACAAATACCCCAGTCAGCTACATGGATGTTTCCTGGCTTTGGTGCAACTAAATAGAACTTTGGATGACCTTCTGTTTTCCGGTTAGCGTCTTCCAAGGACCCAGTTAACCTAGACTAGATGTGTGCAAAATAGCCATTAAAAATAAAAAATCATATCAAATTATGGGTGCCTTTCTAATTGAATATTTGAGATATGCTATCGCATTAAGATACAGGCAAACAGGGGTTTTCCACAGTTATAGATTATCTGTGAATTTGACTGTTACAGTGTCAGAACTGCTGGGTTTACCTTTTTAATCCTATTTTAACTACGATGTGATCAAAAATTTAATCATCCTTCGTCAGTAGTCACGCTACAGTTTTCATTTGTCAGTTTTTCTGTTCAACTAATGCAAAAGTTTGTTAGTTCCTTTGTAGTTTTTAACTGAAAAAAACAAGTGTATTTCAATCGTCTATAAAGCAAATTCATGAAAATATAACATTTTCTCTTAATAAATGTTTATAAAAATCCTAGACATTTATTAAAGTAATTAAATGGATATGTATTGAAACTCATGCCAAAGCTTTTTTTGTGTTTTATTATAATTAGGCAAATTTATTTTGAACTGTTGGAAAACATCAATGCATGTTTGTTGTACTTTGAGAGAATGAAAGTTTTCGTTTCCTAGTTGCACTGAATGTAATCTAGTAATTGATTATTAAAGACGGGCGGTCATCTTTTGTTAAGCATTGTTTCTGTAAAATTAACCAGGATCAGTATGCAAAAACTCATATTGGTGAAGTCGCCTTTTATCTGCAGTTTGGGGAGTTGTTTGATTCGGGAGTAAAATTTTGACAGAGTGGGTTTCTTTCCACAGAGGCTGAAAAAAAATCTAGACGTTGATATATTATTGACAATGAAGTGATATTGACATCTATATCAATATCAAAGTTTCATATCGTTGGTGTATTGTCTAGGACCTGTTGTTCTATGTTGTCCACACAGGTGCATTACAACCGAAGGAATTTTTCTGATTAGTCAAAGATCATCTTGATCTAGATGGACCATTGATTGTGTTTGTTCATGTGCAGCATCGGAGTTCTAGGAGAGGACTTACGGGCCAGCCGGAAAGATGTGCGGACTGGTACGACATCGCCAGTCGGTCAGTCATGGAACATATGTACAAAATGCATTTAAAATAGCTAACTAAACAGAGTTCTTATATGAAGGAAATGAAAGGGTAGTTCAAAGCCTCACCAGATATATAAGGAACTATATATCTGAGGCGCCAATCCAAACACACGTTCGGCTACCAAAGACATAAAGAAAGATTGTTTTGTTTTGTGCAGATCGACGAGCACATAAATTTAACCCAAATCTGCTGCCACGTGCCAGATAAACAAGCAGAGTCTCTAGACAGCACTGGTTACAGTAATATACCTAGGGCAGTAGACAGAAAAAACCTTACAACACTCTGAGTGCAGCGGACACTTTTCAGGTCATTATGGGGAACATTGTGATGTTCATTGGTTCGGATTCGTCTGCTCTAGTAATTCCATAAACCCACTTCATAAGCTTTGTGCAACATAGTTTTCTTTGACATAATACGCCAGCCTACATGGAGTTTCATGGTCTTATGATGAACTATCAGAAGTTTGGATGACCTCTTCGATATCATATCAAATTTATAGTCCCCACACTGCAAATATATTAGAATCTATCCTTAAATTACAGCCAAACCCATTTACACTGATTGTTCTACATGTGCTGTGCAGGAAAAGCTATGTTCTCCTTTCCTGAATGTTGAACACAGATGAAAAATTGGTAACATTCTGCTCTCCCAGTGTAGGTGCAGACATTTTATTTCATTATTCTTCCACCTAGGTAGACATTTAAATTCTCCTTTCAGTTCAGTGTTGGCTGCATCGTTAGATGCATAAAAAAAATAGTATATTCAACCATACCTATATAATTTCACTCATTAAAATGTAGAGTTAATATATAATAAAACATAAATAATTTGAATTCATGTCCTAATTATTTTTGTTTGTTTATATCTGTGCCTGTGGCTGTGAAATAATAGGGTTTTGTTTTTCTACCTGTCGCTGCACACAGACCCTCGTTGGTTAGTTATAGTTGCTAAAACAGTACAAATCATATACCGTATTTTCACGACCATAAGGCGCACCGGACTAAAAGGCGCACTCTCAGTTATGTGTCCCATTTCTGTATTTAACACACAAATAAGGCGCACCGGACTATAGGGCGCGTTTTTTATATACAGGTACATGTCCTCTACTACCTTTAAATACCTCTACTGCGTATTTAAAAATACAGCGGGGGCAAAACTGAGTATGACTGTGCTTTATTCATGTATTTATTACAAAGTATTAATCAAACCTGGCAGCTGAGAGAGACACATCGCAGATGACACAGCGCTGTGATCACTCCTAAATTAACTTAAAATCCTGAAACCTGCCGACGGAATATGTTCGCTTTTATTGCCGGTATCCTGGTGCCTGCAGCTAAAATTATTTAGATGAAAAACACCTGCCAGCAGCCGCGGTGAACCCCAGGCTGCCCAGCCTACAGGCTGCTGATGAAGAGATTTCTGCTGTCAGCGCACCGCTGGTATGTGGGGGTCTGAGCGCCTCCGACAGAAATAGATAATCTGGATGAACTGACTGCAATTATTAAGTTTTCAGGTGGACTTTCTCACTTAAAAATATATTAAAACTAATTTATTCCCACTGATCACAGCAAATATAGCTGCAAGATTTAGATTATTTAGATGAAAAACACCTGCCAGCCGCCGCGGTGAACGAAAGGATTTCTCCTGTCGGTGCACCGCTGGTATGTGGGGGTCTGAGCGCCTCTGACAGAAATAGATAATCTGGATGAACTGACTGCAATTATTAAGTTTTCAGGTGGACTTTCTCACTTAAAAACATATTAAAACTACTTTATTCCCACTGATCACAGCAAATATAGCTGCAAGATTTAGATTATTTAGATGAAAAAACACCTGCCAGTCACCGCGGTGAAACCAGAGGAGACCAGCTGCTGTTGAATTAAGTTTTCAGGTAGAAAAATAGAGCGGGAGCAAAACTGAGTATGATTGTGCTTTATTCATGTATTTATTACAAAGTATTAATCAAACCCATCAAAGTCATCATCCTCTGTTTCTGAATAAAACAGCTGCGCTAAATCAGACATGCCAGTTTCCCCTTCTTCGCTGTCAGAGTCACTTTCCGTGCAGCGCAGCTCCTCAGAAATAATGCCGGCTTTTGCGAAAGCTTGAACAACAGAGCCAGCAGACACTTTAGTCCAAGCATCTACAATCCATCCGCAAACTGTGGCGTAATCTGCCCGGCGCTGCCTTCTTATCCTGAAACTGTGGTCTCCGTCGGTCACCCATCGCTCCCACGCCGCTCGCAGCCTTACTGTGAACGGCCGCTTCAAACCGATGTCGAGCGGTGGAAGTTCCTTTGTCAGACCCCCGGGATAACGGCGAGCACAGCGTTCATTTGATTTATCTTTTTTTCACATCGGCTGTGAGATGGGCACGCAGCGATGGTGATGCGTGGAAAAAAACCACCTAGTCTTCTCAGATACACCTGCCTTTCATCATCTCCTCATCGATCCAGCCTTTTCATTTGCGTTAATATCATATGTCATCAGAGCGCTGTACTGTCTCGCTGTCAGCTCCCAGATCAGCTTCTCTGATTGGTTGATGCGGCGCGTCCAGCAGCAAAACTTAAATTTTTCCATGTCGAGCAGCAGCAGGGCGTTGGCGGTGCGTCAGATGCTGTGAGATGGGAACGCATGGAGTTACATATTAACAGCGATGGTGAGGGGTGGAAAAAAAAACACCTGGTCTCCTTACATTCAGCCACTCTTTCATCATCTCCTCAATGAGGTGGTCTCAAAAGTCGCAGTTACAACACACATAGGGCGCACCGCACCATAGGGCGCACCGCACATTTTGAGGAAAAAAAAAGACGTTTAAGTGCGCCTTATAGTCGTGAAAATACGGTACATGAATGTATGCATCTCTAGAGGTTTGCCAAGATTTCCTGTCATCTGACAGCTGCCATCTAATTATAAATATAGAACATGTAATTAATTTACTTAGCATTTATGTTCAACACTTCGGTGGAGATGTACAATTAGCCTGCTCTGCCTGTCACCTTATGACAGAGCAGTTGAATGCTGCTGTAGCTCTAAAAGGGTTTTTCTTAGTAAAACACAAAACCCTTTGCTGTTGACATTTTCAGCAAAGAAAATCAGCATTATTTTTTTCAAGATGCAAATTCTCTCTTCAGTCATTTCACAGTTTGCTGGATGCTAAAGCTTCGGCTTTGTCCAGAGACCAGATGCAGTCAACATTCACACACACAAACGTTTGTTTCTCTCAACTCTTGAACTTGTTTTAAGTCCCTTGAGCAGCAGTGCCTGGTTTGCTGTTTTTGAAATGAACATCACTGGTTAATAAAACTTTGGCACCTGCTACACAGAGGATTCAAAATGTCCTGCAAATGTCTTTTGCTTGCTGAGAGTCTGCAGCTAAATTGGTGAGATGATTTTTGGGTTGATTAAATCTAATTAGATCAATGATATGCTCAGCATGTTATAATCTCATTCTCCATTACATTTACATCCCTTGGTTAAATCTCGATCTGTTGTAACAGCAGTCCTTTTCTCCCTCCAACAGAGCCGTGTGTTAAACTGCTCTGCAAACACCTCCTTGTAACGGCTTGAAAAACACTATTAGGATCCCCAAATCCCAAATCCAATTGTGAAAGTGTCAAAACATCTTTGAGCCATAAAAAGGCCAAACCTGTAACTGACAGGACTCAGAGGATCTGTTTTTAACTTCCTAAATTCGTCCTCCAATATATACACCCATGGGTCCAGATTCTTAACCTGACTCTGCCAGATGGATTTGCTCCGCATATCCATCTGGAAACCTTCCGTTGAAGTAATTTTGGGAAGGGGCAAAAATACTGGTTAGCTGATTGGCCTATGTTGGTGATAGACGGGCCAAATAAACCAATCAGATCAACGAAGCATATGACGTACTAACAGAGCGATGACGAAAACACAACCACAAGATCAAACTCTTGCCAAAACCAGTCGGGAGAAGAGCAAAAACATCTTTTCCTCTGAGAAAAGCCTCCAGAGCAGTGTTTTGCTCTTCTTTCAGTGAAGAAATACTCTGTAATTGCGATAAAACTTGCTCGATAGCCACGCTAACGCTAGTTTCATCAGCTGAAAGTCGCCATGTTCTTTAGACTGAACTGTCGCGCTTCTCGTTGCGTCACACCTCAACCCACCTCAAAACCAACGCTGATTGGACGTTCGTTTGGTGAACGGCTCCAAATTTTCTTTAACGGAGAGTCTCCAGACTGATCTGAGAGTGAAACCTTGAAAGCTCGCGAGATCAGGATGGTCTCACGAGGCTACCAGATTCTGCCCTGGGATAAAAAATGCCTTCAATAACAAGAGAAAGATAAAAAAAAAAAAAGACAAAGTACAGCTTGTAACATGTCTGGTCGATTGTTGCTGTCTGGTCATCACTTATCATTTTACTGTCCAGAAAAAGCAGTTATAAAAGTAAGATGTTCACAACAATTAGATTAAAAAAAAACATTCAGTCCGAAACTTCAGACAGATGTGATTAACAGGCTTTCTGGCATTTGATCAACCAATTTCAGTGAACATATAAATCAGGGAATCATTACAAACTGTATTGATACTAACTATATAAAACATGAAACTAGCATCAATAAAACATGTTCTGAAAAATGTGTCCTAATTAGTAAGCTAATTGGCTTAATTAGAAGTGAGCTGGCAGAGAAGAAACCTAATTTCTGGACCCCATGTGGAGCTGATGATGAGATTTGATTGTGCTTTCTGCCATCTATTTGCATATTTTACATAATTTCTCTACTAGAGGTGTTTGGATTTTCAATCGGGGTGGAAAAAAACTTACATATTTAACTGCATTTAGTGACCTGTAAAAGCAGGTCATAAGGGAAAACAAGTTCCAGCCTAAAATATTTGAGGTTTAGGGGCTTTTGGGTTTAGCTTTTAGTACAGGGACACTAAACTTTAAGCCAGATTATAGCTTATTCATGTTAGAATGGCCAAAAGCTTTCACTTCAACCAGACGGAGAATGAGTAGAGGGGTTGAGAAAGATATGTGTCATTATGTAGTTGAAGATCGCAGGAAGCATTCATTTCAATTTCAGGTCATTTCTTTAGTGCAAGTTCTTTGCACGAGTCATTTCAAGGCACTTTAAACTTTAACTAAACCACATTTTTTGGTCTAAGAAAATGCAACAGATTATATTTAATTATTCAACTTCATAGAAGTCACTCCTCTTAAAGGAGCAGACGGCGACGTTAAACAGTCACTTGCATTGTGCCATTGCTTTTCATCAGTCCCTCACACCCAGCATGCAAGCAGCGACAGTGGAGAACAAAACATCCTTGTAGCAGAAAGAAACCCCCAGTTGAACAAGGCTCAATATGAACGATTTTCTGCCATAAAGTAGACACACAAAGGAACAATAAAGCAGTTATCCAGGAGTATTTTAATGTTAGAGAAGGCAACAGTAGACTTTTATGGTCAGATGATACAGTTAGCTTCAGTAAAACCTCAGAACATACCTATGTTCAGGAGGGAAACAGACCTAAACCTTGAAGTACAGGGCCAACTGTATCGGGTATAAAATATAACAGCGCAGCCCAGCTTTTGCCTCCCTCTAGGATGGTATTACAGCTAAACACCAGGCCAGTTGTAGTTACTGAAGAACAGAAAGAACAGAAAGTTAAAGTAATAAATCATCAGTACACAACAGGAGAATAAAATGAAGCAGAATGATGAAAAGGTGTCCCTTTGTCCTCCAGCAGTCTAAGCCAATAGCAGCATAGCTAAAAGAGATAGCTCGGAATAATCTGAGCCACTCTAACTATAAGTTTTATGAAAAAAGAAAGTTTTAAGCAAACCCTTAAAAGTAGACAGGATGTCTGCCTCATGCTCTTAAACTGGTAGTTTGTTCCACAGGAGAGATGACTAAAAAGATCTGCCTCTCATTCTACTTTTAAAAATTCTAGGAACCACTAGTAAACCTGCAGATAGAGACCTGCAGTGCTCTGTTAGAGATATTAGAAACAATCAGATCTCTGATATCAGATGGAGCTTGGCCATTTAAGGCTTTATATGTAAGAAGGAGGATTTTAAATTCTATTCTGGATTTAACAGGAAGCCAATGAAGAGAAGCCAGCATAGGAGCGATATGTACCCCATTTACACTACCCTTGAAAAACCGTGCCGAGACCGGTCCGAGCTCAGTAACTGAGATAACTTATCGTGTGTAAAGGGAAAGCAAACTGAACTGAACCGAGCTAGACACAACCGAACCGCGCTAGCTGCAGACCAGATCCAGAGGTGGGCTGGGCTCAGTTTTTCCCTGGCTCGGTTCTCTAATAACAAGAGCGCAAACGCGTCATCTCCATCTGGCTGCACATCCCGATTCACACTCCATCCCAGTAGTTGGCAGTAAAGCCCCTCCAGAAGTTGCTTGCCAACCAACACAAAACAGAAGAACAACTATAAACAAGAAATCGAAATCTTCTCCACGCAACATTTTAAATAATGGCATTTTAAATAATAACACCGAAGTACAGAAATAATAATCAAGCATAACTTTCTGAATGTGACAGGCGCCGCCATTGTGATTTGCTTGATTCCCTCCTTCTTCGTCTTCTTCTTCTTGTGTTTTATGGCGGTTGGCAAACAACTTTTGGTGCATTACCACCACCAACTGCTCGATTTCCTCCTTTAATACTGGCAGTAATACCGCAGATCGTCACTAGGAGGCGAGGAGTTGAAGAACCGAGATAGCGTGATGTGTAAACGGTCGTCAGAACCGAGCTCGACCTGGTTAACTGATACGAGCTCGGACTGGTCTCGGCATGGATCGGTTTTTCAAGGGTAGTGTAAATGGGGTAATGATCTCTTTTTAATTTTCATCAGAACTCTGGCTGCCGCATTTTGGATCAGCTGAAGGCTTTTAACTACAGTTTGTGGCCTTCCTGATAGTAAAGAATTACAATAGTCCAGCCTTCAAGGAACAAGTGCATGGCCTAGTTTCTCAGCATTTTTGCGATATTTAGAAAATAAAAGAAGGAAGTTTTAGAAAACTGTTTAATATGGTATTTAAAGACAGGTCTTGATTAAACATAAAATCTTGCATCTCGCCAGTAAGCCTAATTCTTTATTGGTGATGCTGCTTGTATTAGTAGCAGTGGAGCAGTGGATTGACTAACGTGATATCATCTATGAAAGTTTATCCTGCTGCCTGGTCATCGTAATACTCAACACAATAATAAGGTATGCTGTAAGTGAAATGAGTTGCTCTTTCCTTATTGCATTTTAGGTTTTTGAATACTTTTGTCGCACAGTGTTTTTTTTTTTTTTTTTAAAGGTTTGTACATTCAACAAAAGATTTGGGGCCAAGTTATTTGTTTTTCCTTTAGCTTGCAGGACACAAATTGCCCTAAAAATGACAATTTAAAACTTGTTTGATAAATTGCCTCTTACAGGTAGACAAAACACTGCGTGCCGTTTTATATGTGCGTCTAAGTGCTTCAAAGGTCAATGTTGAGTGCCTCAACATAAACAAAATCCTCGTGAAATGATCAGGTGCAAAACTAGACTGAAAATGACTGCAAATTGGACCAAAGGGACAATAAAAAAAACTCTAGAAAGCCTAAGGAAATGGTTTTGAAGAGCACTTAAGATTATTAGAAGAGTTAGTTATTTGGCATCTATTAAATGCATTCAGTAACACAGGAGAGCCTTTCTTTTTTAGCTGTTAAACTGTTTTTTTATTAGTTTGTTTCATTTTACTTTTTTCTTCTCTTTCCTTCAGGCTCGATCATTTAGCCACAACGTTCCAGCAGCTGCAACTCCAGCCTTCATTCAAACTGTAAGTTTTACATCCAATAATATTCCCATTTTGTTTATCAGACGGATGTTCGCTTTAGTTATCCATCTGAAGCTTTAAGTGAACCCGAGTGCATTGACTAGATTTTCTATTGTGTTCTCTAATAAACCTTTATGCACATTAGATTAGGAAATTATTCTGATTGTTTTCCTTTTGCTTATTGAACTAAAACCATAAATTGTTGTGCACAGTATCTTATACTCAGGGTTCGTAAGGGTGCTGGAAATCCTTGAAAATGCTTGCATTTTGACATTGTGTTTTCAAGGTTTGAAAAGTGCTTATATTTTGGATAAAATGCTTGAATTTGTAACTATTTATTTCGCAACAAATACCTATCTAACTGAATCGTGTGTTTATTAAATGGAGAAATAAAATGTTGGAGAGCCCGAAAATGAAACCTGCTCGCTTATGTGTGACTGCGATCTGCCAGTCTATTTCCATGTGTCACTCCGCCCCCATCAAACCACTATTGCACCATGGCGGGAGGTTGTCGTTTCAATGAATGTTGGCTGGAAGATGAAAAATAAAAATTATGGATTAAACGGGGACAAACCCCACGAGGCGGTAGCGTGAGTTTGGCGATTCCAGCTAAAACAGGCGCAGCCACCTTTGTTTTGCTTCAACTTTCCGTCTCTGGTCGACGCTTTGACCTCATACACCTCCCTGCATTATCCAACCGCTGGCTTCTGGTGACGTGTATTTTCAGGAGTTGGTGAATTCAATAACCTCATGATGATTCATCTTGCTTTGTAAGGTAATTTTTTTACCACCCGAAATGAAAGTAAAATAAACTTTTTCTGGTTTTGGTCCATTGGGATAACCACAATGTTTTCTATGCTAATTGTGAGAATTTAAACTAAATGTACAACAAGGTTTGCATACAATTTTAATTTATTTTTTATTTAATCAGGAATTTTTCATTTCCTTTAACTTTTTTCATTCTGAGTGAGATTTGAATACATCAAATTTAACTGAAAACTGTGGAAGGAACCTGATCAGAATGATTAATATTTAGCTGATGAAGGGAAGTCAAACTTTAAACCAAAGCTTTTTGCTTTAAAGAAATATTCCTTAAAATCTGGTACATTTATCTGCATCTTATTCTGTCTTATATTGTTCAGTCAAATGTATTTTGGTAAAAGAAAATCTAAACTCTTCAAGCTGTTAGCTTCTCTTTAACATATTTAGTGTGGAAAATTGCTTGATGTTGGTATTTAGAACAGACTTAAACCCAGAAGCACACAGACCTACAATAGCTCCTTCCATCTAAGAGGAACGGCTGCTCTCTGTATGTCATACAGGCACAAACTGTTTCTTCTGATGTGGTGAGATGGTAATCTTCTGTAATTTGGGTCCAGATTGAATTTCTAACCAACCTCTGTGCAATTTGTGATGTTCTTCTTTGTACGGTCGTTCCAATTCATCCACACTGGAGGGTTTTATGGAGACATTTAAGCAGCATGGAGATCCATCCTCCTAAACACTGGCAAATGATTTAGACTGAGATACACTGCCTGGCCAAAAAAAAAGTCGCAACCTGGATTCAACTAAGCAAATAGGTACGAGCCTCCTATTGGATAATTACTGCATGGGTGATTATTTTTCAGCTGGCAACAAGTTATTTAACCCCAACTGGCGCAATGACTTGATTCTCATTTCCTAAACAACCATGTCGAAAGACACATCCCGAGGTCGTGGAAAAGATGTTACTCTGTTTAAGAAGGGTCAAATCATTGGCATGCATCAAGCAGAGAAAACATCTAAAGAGATTGCAGAAACTACTAAAATTGGGTTAAGAACTGGAAGGATAGTGAGGACCCATCATCTTCAAGGAAGAAATGTGGCCGGAATAAAATCCTGAATGATTGTGATCGGCGATCAACTAAAGGTGTGGTGAGATCAAACAAAGAATCATCTTCAAACTCCTCCTAACTACATTCAAGGCCCTCCACAGCTTGGCTCCATCTTACATCTCAGATCTCCTTCACGTTAAAACCCCCACGCGCTCCCTACGATCCTCCCACACCTTCCAGCTCTCCGTTCCCTCGGCCCGTCTTGTCACAATGGGGAACCGGGCATTTAGTCGCTCTGCTCCCCACCTCTGGAACTCCCTCCCTCCGGATCTCCGTACTCTGGACTCCTTCCCTCTTTTCAAATCCAGACTCAAAACTTTCCTGTTCAGACAGTCTTATCCCATCTAGTTCTTACGCATCACTCCAATATTGTTTTCTTCCTTTTCTTCCTTAAGCTTTATTTTACTTCCTGCTGTTTTGTTTTCTGTGGCACCTTTATGCTTGTACTTTTTAGCTTCCTGTTTTTAATGTTTTATTTGCCTGTACAGTGTCCTTGGGTGTTTTGATAAGGCACTTTCAAATAAAATGTATTATTATTATTATTATTATAGATCAAATCGAAGAAAAACAACAGTAGAACTCAGGGCTTTGTTTAATACTGAAAGTAAGAGCATTTCCACACGCACAATGCGAAGGGAACTTAAGGGATTGGGACTGAACAGCTTAGTAGCCGTAAGAAAACCACTAATCAGTGAGGCTAACCGGGAAAAAAGGCTTCAGTTTGCTAGGGAGCATAAAGATTGGATTGTGGAGCAATGGAAGAAGGTCATGTCGTCTGATGAGTCCAGATTTACCCTGTTCCAGAGTGATGGGCCAATCAGGGTAAGAAGAGAGGCAGGTGAAGTGATGCACCCACCATGCCTAGTGCCTGCTGCAGTTGATCAGGTCTAGGTTCAGCAACAGTATGTGCTCAAAGAATGAGCAGGGTTCCCGCGGGTCCTTAAAAAGTCTTTAAAGGCATTGAATTCTTCAAAATAAAACTAAGGCCTTAATTGGTATTAAAATGTTTTAAATCAGTCTTTTGTAGGTCTTAATTTTTAAATAATCATAAATAGGATTATTTTTTATTACGTTTTATTTTTGTAATCTAAATAAAACGTTAAAATTGACAATTTTTTTATTTTTTTTTAATAATAAAAAAAAAAAACGGCTCGCCATTATTGGTTCCGTCCCGATAGCGGAACCAATAAAAGCGTTGTTGCGGCCGGGACATTTGGGAGATGCACCATTAACTTTTTGTCTGGAAAATATGAGCAAGTGTAAATGTAACCGAAATTGTCTCCAGCCAAGATTTTTCTCCATGGCTAAAACCAGGGAACATACATGAGGCTCAGTGGATTTTGTGCAAGAAGCGATTCAAGCCCGGAGCGATGGGAATTAAGGCAGTGGAGTCGCACATGCGAAGCACGAAACACAAAGCATCAAAATGGAGTTACAGAGAAACAGCCGGTATTTCTCAGTTTTGTTCCACCCTTGTCTCTGCAACGCCTCCACTTATCACGAAATCAAACATTCTAAGAAAACAATACAGAAAAATAGCTGCAAAAAAGACTTAGCACTGGTTATGTTGGGGCTTTAAAACTGATTAGTTTTGTTCCCTGCTAAAACAAAGTTTCTAAATTCAGTTAAATAATTGTTAAAATATATCTCTCATTTGTGTGTTTTTAGCTTTCTTCCTGTATGGGAAGCTTTTCAAAATTTGAAACATTAGTGCAGTGGTTTATGTTAAAATAAACCTTTGGGTTAAGTTGTCGCAAGCAGGTTTTTCTTGTGTTTCTTGTAAATTTGGTCTCAAATTTTTATTTCAAGTGGCATTAAAAAGTCTTAAGAAGTCTTGAATTTAACTTGCCTTATGCTGTAGGAACCCTGATGAGGTCAACTGACTACCTGAATATACTGAATGACCAGGTTATTCCATCAATGGACTTTTTCTACCCTGATGGCACAGGCATATTCCAAGATGACAATGCCAGGATTCATCGGACTCAAATTGTGAAAGACTGGTTCAGGAAGCATGACTCATCATTTTCACACATGGATTGGCCACCACAGAGTCCAGACCTTAACCCCATTGAGAATCTTTGGGATGTGCTAGAGAGGGCTTTGCGCAGCAGTCAGACTCTACCATCATGCAAGATGGTGAAAGATTAATGCAATAAATGCCGTAATCAAAGCTTAAGGCGGTCCCTCAAAGCATTATAGTGAATGACCTTTTTTTTTGGTGACGACTTTTTTTTGGGCCAGGCAGTGTATGTCCAAATATGTATCTGATAAACTCAGAGGCCGCTTTCTGCTGGTGGGTAGAACATTTCTATGGCCTCCATAATAATGCTTCATCACAGACCTGCTCCAACTGCGGCATAGAGCTGAGAAGAGTGCTGGCATAGAAATGGACTCTCCCCTCCTGAATTCAGAGTCCCAACAGCAAAAAGGCCCTCATGCGTGTGTGGGAGTGTTCCTATTTGTGTTCATGGTAGCAGGCAAAGCCAGCATCGCTTTCTTCTCCTGGTGAAAATTAGATTCTGATAAATCGCGGGTTTGCATCAGTGTCATATGAGCAGTGCTGATTAAGGAGGGATGCATGCATCAGGCCGCTTCGCCCGTGGCGCTTTCATTTCAAAAACCCGACATGAAGAATGACACCGTTTAGACATGAGGATGCATTTATTAAAAATCGAAGGGAAACAAATCAAACAGCTAAATCTTTCAGGTTGAACACATTTTACATTCTCATCTCCTGTAATGAAGCAGAAAAGCCTCACCGCTCGGTGTAGGTGGAATCTTGTTCCCAAATGGGGAAAAAAAGCCTCCTGACACCACAGCTTTTGCAAAACACATTCCCAGCCTCTGAATTGCCGCCAATTTGTTCAGAGAGACACGGGGGATGGAGGAACAGACTTCAGAGAGCTCTGCAGGCGGAGTAAAGAAGGTCCTCCATGTGTTTCTGCTCGGCTCGCTCTTTGCTGCGGCGCTAAATGAAAGCCGTGCATCAGGATGTCAGCGAGGTAGAAACACAACAAGCTTTCTGTGATTCTTTGGGTAAACTAATGAAATCTGAGGTTTGAGATGAACATTCTAATAAAAGAATAAGAAGATGGAGTCCTAAAATTTTGATTTATTCTTTAAGGTGGAATAAAATCTTTTCCTAACATTTTGTTACTCGGTGAAATTGGATCTGTGGTATATTTCCCCCCTTTTTTTAACATTTAAATTTTATATACTTGATATTCTACTAAAAGAATAAAATGTGACATCCTTTCTGGTGAGCCATTTTTATCTCATGACAGGTTTATAGTAATTAGGTTTAACTACTCAAACACTGCACTTAAGTAGTTTTTTTTAACAGTATCTGCAGGCCAGCTGACAGACTTGGCTGGACCTGGGACAAAATCTAAAGAATTTATGAGTTGGGGCCCATCAATTCCTACTTTGTATGTACTGTATATACATACACACACTATATATATAAGGGATGGAACGGTTTATGAAAACCGTCCGAACCGTTCAGTTCGACTGTCTCGGTTCTGTTCACGTGTGTTTCGTTCGGTTCATGCGCTGCTCCTTTTTCTCATAGGCGAAGCGTTTACACTCCAGAGCCGAAGGTCGTGGTACTGCGACCAAAGCCAACCACCAGTAGTAAAGAAGAAGAAGAAGAAGCGAAGCAGCGTCGCCGGGTGTAGCAGGGAAAAAAAATCAGTTGTTGTGGAGAATTGTGTGGGTATGGCGAGTGGGAAAGAACAGGAGTTGGAAGACGCGCCAGCAGCACTTTATAGGTCTGCTGTATGGGAGCGCTTTGCATTTAGAGTGACCTACGATGACGGCGGAAAGAAAGTTGTGGATAAAAGTGAAACAGTGTGCAAGCATTGTGCAACACGTTCTGTTTATGCTAACAGCAACATGACCAACATGTCAGGCTAACCCTGAAATCCCTCATACTCCGTCAGCGCCCCGCTCCGCTGCGCTCCAGACCGCCCACAAAGCAAAGCAAAGCAAAGCCTACAGCCTCCACTGTGGCTCCCATCCGCTCCGCTCTGAGTTCCTTGGAGATCGTAGAGAGCATGCGCCAGATGATTAAATTCAAAGCAGCAAAACATGTGGAAATTATCCATGGTTTCTGCGGATCATTAAAAATAATTACAATCCATTAATTTTTTGGGGGATTTTTTCATTTATTTCATTAATTTTTAGGGGATCAACATATACCGAACCGAACCGAAAACCGTGACCACGAAACCGTGAATCGAACCGAACCGTGGATTTTGTAAACCGTTCCACCCCTAATATATATATATATATATACTAGTTTATCCTTCTTAGATATTGGCCTCATTTATGAGCATTAACTTTGGAATCGGAGCAATCCGAGAAAGTTTACCAGTCAAATGCAGCACAAAAAAAAAAGAACAGATGCTGCAAAAGGTGTTCATCTCTTACTCTTTGCGCCAGGGACTTTTTGTTTTGTTTTACTTTTCCTACCTCCATGTTTTTGAACCTCATTGTTCTTTTACCAGTAGAACACCTAAGCTGCTCATTTTACAGGAACCAAACAGTTTGTAAAATTTGCACAGCAATCTTAGTAGATCATCAGCAACAAGCCCACAAATTGCACATATTAAAATACATTTGCATTAAACATTTTAGCACCTCTTATTCTTGATCCTTGAGGATAAAAACTTAATTTTAATTTTGTATTTAATTAAACTGTAGATCCTGTATCTTTTTCATTTAACCTGAGTAAAAAAAAAGGCAAAGTAATCTGTACTATGGCTTTATAATGTAATACTTTTGACATTTCTAATTTAATAGTGTGCTGTGTAAAAATATAAACAGGAGAATGCATCTGTGTTGATTCATTTCGAAGCAGAACCACCTACACCCATAAATAAGACCCTGCAGCCTCTGAGAACAGCTTTCCACTGAAAAATGCTTTTGTTTTACTGCTCAAACCCTCCATCACATATAGTCCAAACACTTGATGTGGAACAGAAAAAAAACAGCTGAGAAATGTACTGCCATCTTCACACAGTTTGTCTCCAGGGCTCGTGTTTACGGGTCGCTTTTTTCTTTCTGTTTTTCTCCCACTTATCTTTATTTTTCCTCACAGACCTACTTGTGTTTAATAAAGTGACGATGACGACATGATCAAGAATGTATGCATCAAACATCTATGTACTGGTAGGCTGGGGAAACTGGCTGAAACGGTGCCAGTGGAAACTGCTGGGAGAGATTCCCACATTCATGTTGGAGCTATTTACTCTGAGACCTTCTGCCAGTTGGAACCTGTTGTTCAGGAGGCTCCAGCTGCACGGTGTGACTTGTGCGACACCGATCATCCTGTGCTAGGATACTGGCCAAAATGGCTTCCATATTTCCCTCCCCTTTGTATTGATTTGACATCTTTTGTGGCTGAGGTGAAGACAGTGCAGACTGTTCTGGTAGGGCTCAGGAAGATAAATGGTTTAATAAAAATAAAAAGTTCATTGATTTGTTTCTGCTTTTTCATTGGAGGTAATGTGGATAAACAGACATATTTCAAAGTTGAAATGCCATTTATATAAGAGTCTAAAAAGTGCATCAAGTGTCTATGGTCTAAGAGGATGTGAGGCATGAATTCAGGATACAGACTAAACCATGTGCTGCTGTTTGGCTCTGTGCTGCAGGTCGTGTTGGAAGACTATCTGCAGAGAATCAGGAAGGCGGATTTTGATGTTTTCCACAAGAGCCTGCTGAACAGGAACCCACTGCTCCCCTTCCAGCTCTACCTCCGCTCCTGGAAGAAGACCTACTGATTCCAGCCTCTTCCACCCTAAGAAACCTGCAGATCTGGCAGACAGAGACTTCAGTTATTGAGCTGCTGCTCAGAATGCTAATAAAGACCCACAGAATTGGACAAACATCAGCTCTGGCACTAAAATCACCATCAATGGAACTGAGAATCACAGCAGACTTTTGTTTATTTTCAGCAGTTTATTTTCCAATTCAGGAAACATAGAGTTCTCTATATACAGACAGAAAGTTTTAGAACGCGTGAAATTAGACTTTAACTGTATGACTGTATGTATTGAAGCTGATTTTCGAGTTTAAGATTTCATTCGATTTTTCTTTCTCCTGATGATGTATTTCTACCTGCAGCTTATCTCTGCCTCTCCAACTGTCCATCAGAAGAAGCCCACCAGTTTGACACATCGATGCGTCTGTTATTTTTTAAAGGAATCTGTGTTGGAATCTGTGAAAAACCAGCAAAGCCTTTGGTTCAACAGCTGCTAGTTGGCTTTGGGGAATAAATTTAAAATAGGGTTTAGACAATTGATTGGATTAATCATGAGAAAATGATTATTGGCCCAAATGTTAACTGATTTAGTAATTGATTAAATATTAACTGCACTATAGAGACTAAAACATGCCATTAGATAAAAGGACAACCAGCTCAGCAGTTATACCAAAATTTTGAAAAATATACCGGTATTAACATTTTTTCCATCAAGTATGCTCTATCTAGAACTCCTTAAATTGCTTAGTTTTAGCTTTAATTCTGTAAAAAAAATCTAACCTTAAGCGACCTTTTCTAATATGAACATGAATGTATTAAACTTGTGTGTGCAGGTGGGGCAGCGGTTAGTGCGCCCGACCCATGTCTTGAGGCCTTAGTCCTCGACGCGGCCGACCCGGGATCAAATTCCACCTGTGGTCCTTTCCTGCATGTCTCTCCCTCTGATATCCGCTTATACCTGCTTTCCTTTTAGCCTACTGTTGAAAAAAAATGAGCCACTAGTGCTGTAAAAACTCAAAAAACAAAAAAATCTATTAAACCAAAAAATAATCAATAGATTAATCTATTAGCAAACTGTCTAATATTACTACAGCCATAATTTAAAGATGTTTTTCTAGCTGTCCTTCATTTCATGTCTGTTTTAAACACAGCTTTATTTCTTCAGCCATGAAGGGACACTAATCCCTGAAAATCCTTTATTTTTTTGGTCTGTTTTTTTTTTTTTTATTGGAGGGATCAGATGCTGACATCTGATTTGTTTTTGGCCCTCAGTCCCTTGTTTCCCGTACATGGATTCCTCACAACAAAGCATAAGTATAACAGCACGTGTGATTAGTCTTCCTATCATGTTGAGTCAGTCGTCCAGTGGGCACTAGGGGTGTGAATTACCAAGAATTTGGTGATCAGGTAAAAATCAGGACACAATTTATCCTGATACATTAATAAATATAATATATTGTGGTTTTGATCATAATAAAGCTCTGGAAAACCTTAAGATCTCATTGTTCAGCTGTAGCTGGTACAGAGCAGCTGAATAATAGGCTCCTGGGTGTTGCACTGGTTGGAGGTTTTAGTTATATAAAAGTAAGAAAAAATGCGTGTTTTGCTACAGTCAGTTTTTAACCTTTAAAAGTCGTTTTGAATCAATACAAATATTTGATAATGAAATATAATAAGTGGGCATCCTTTTTTTCACTCATTATACCCATAGCGCCCTAATCCTGTGCCCCCAAAAAAACCAAAACAATAAAAAATTAAGAAGGCATATTGAGTGGTTATCTATGGAAGAGGATTAGGGCCAGTGGGAAAAAAAAAAAAAAAGTTAACTGATTTTTAAATTTTATTTCAGTTTAGTATGGGAATGTCAGAATTCTGAGAAAAAAGTCAGAATTCAGATTTTTTTTTCACAGAATTCTGACTTTTTTTTTCAGAGTTCTGACTTTAATCTCAGAATTCTGACTTTTTTTCTCTGAATTCTGACTTTAATTTCAGAATTCGGACAATAAAAAGTCAGAATTCTGAGATTAAAGTCAGAATTCTGACTTTTTTCTGATGTTAAACTGAAATAAGATTTTAAAATCAGTTACCTTTTTTTCAGTGGCCCTAATCCTCTTCTGTAGTTATCATAGTACCCTGCCACACCAAACAATTCTGGTTTTTGTTTGTGGTGAATATGTTTTTTTTAAATATAAACTAAATATTTTGTTTTTTGTTTTTTTTACTGCAATTTTAGCATTATTCTTGCTATGAAAATGTCAAGAAGAGGAACTTTTCTCCTTTTCAGACGAAATTTAGTGAGATTTCTCCCATTAGATGTTAGTAAAGCCCTTCAGGCTGTTACATCTTTACTTTTATCAAACTCCATTTTAATTAGCCCACCTCAAACAAGCATGGTGCAATTCAAAGTGTGGTAATTTGTTTAGATAATTCTCTTCAAATTTTCCTTGTTGAATACTTATTGAAACACCAATAGATGGTCTCAGTGAGCATTTGAACGTTATACAAGGTTTCAAAAAGTTAACTATTTCCCTGCGTATTTGCTGAGGTGCTTCAACAAAGCTTCACCTCAGCATTTTGCATTTCTTGTAATCACTCTGACCTCGTTATCTATTCCTGTTCAACCACCTCTAGGTGTCGTTTGAAGTTTTTTAGACTGACATATGTAGCTAAATATGTCAATCCTAAATTTGAGAACAACTTTGCCCTAAAAGTCCTTGAAAAGTATTTAAATTTAAGGTTGAACCTGATTAGTTTATCATGTCTTACTAAATGCTCAATAAATAAAGCTTAGAAATTAATTTTTATAAAATTATTTATTGTAAAACTTCAATAATTAAGCTCCAGAGTTCAGAAGAAGTAAAATAAGAGCCAAGCTCCAGGAGAGTAATGACACTGTTTGGAAATGTTGATAAAAGAGGGATGATTACAGCATTAAAATCCTCAAACAACCAACCGGCAGCTTTTACATGAGATTCCTATCTTACTCTAACCCCAATCATTAGTTTGTATAAACATACTAAAGCACATAATAAAACATAATAGTTTTCACCATGCAAATATTTTTTTTTAACTAAAATCTTCACTAAGAACATCTTGGTTCTCTTTCCTCTCCTACATGGAAACCCTTCCAGGATGCAGCGGATAAAATCACCAAGCGCTTTGATGCTATTTTGCTCCCAGGTTTTGAAGATTCTACACAAAAGAACAACATTCGACCGACATAACAGAATCTCAAGATAATGAGACAAATTACGTGAGTGCAGGCAGCATCAGATCCCAAACTTTTTATCTATGAACAATACAGATAGCCCCTGTGGAGAGCAGGCTGAAGCTTTTTGTCCCTCTGTAAGCCTTTCACTGCGGTTTCTGCAGCTGCTATCCACCAAGAGGAGCTGTGGATAGAAATAAACACCAGTCTGTTTTACAGTGGTGCACTGATGGAACCAGGAGAAAAGTTGTCACCTACTGATTTTTTTTTATCTTATAAAAAAACAGCAGAATCTCTGAATAAATTGTTGTTTAAAGCTTTGGTTGTTTTTTTTTTTGGTTATGTTTTTTAGTCAGTTTTTTTGTCAGTTTACTGTGTCCATACCAGGGATGTACATTGTCGGGATTTTATTTGATAATCAACAACTCAACTGGCCGATAAACTATTTTGTCCACTAGACCTGCTGCAGATGGTACTTGGTTAGTACAGCAATCCCACAGTTCAGTTTACTACCTATTTTACAACCTCTGTAGCATTTTTTACTAGCAAAACAAAATCAAGCCTTTGTCTTGACTAACATCCTCCTCCTACCCCCAAGCCCCTCCTCTCACGATGATACAGAAAAAGAACATTTAATTTTCCTATTTATGTCAAGACTCTGTACCTTTAAGTCCAATTAATATATAGAAGAATACATTTGAATTTACAAATACTACTGATCTGAAGTTCAGTTTACAGAATAAATCAGTTTATCATCACATTAATATGGCAGTACCATTTTACCTTCACAGAAATAGGAAATATACTTGGACTCTTCTGTTAAAGTTAACAGTCTAAGGTAATGAGCTTAAATAGTTTTTTTCTCAAATCACTTTGAGATTTATAAAGTGAGTAACTTATTACAGTGAGGCAACGTTGTGAGAACTTTTAATTCTTCAAAGTGAGGTGCTAAATGACTAGTTCCAACAGATCAACCAGTGGAACCAATGCAGTCTGTCAATGTGAGCTCAGGTCCTGCTGTCCTGTCATTAGAATGTGTTTACTGGTTTTATAGTTAAATATTAATGTAAAACTTACGATAAATTGAAGGGTGACCAAAATTGTACTATCAAGTCAATTTCTGTTTCACTTTGACCACCATTCAGAGGCCATAATTGGAGTTCATTTGATTTACTTCTTTTAGAGGATAGAGGATATAGAGAAAATTATTATTCATATTATAGGAGAAACATAGAGGATGTGTGCTCGGCTATAAACAAGACAGTTAGGTTGACAGGTTGTTTTTTTACTGGGGAGGCTGTCCCCGGTGTATGGATAAGTACGGAAGAGGATTAGGGCCACTGAAAAAAAAAAAATATTTTTTTTACTCATTTTTAAATTTAATTTTTGTTTAACAGGAAAAAAGTCAGAATTCTGACTTTAATCTCAGAATTCTAACTTCTTTCTCAGAATTCTGACAGCTAACAAACATGTTAGCATCAAGCCATAACCACGTCTGTTTTAGAGACTAGCTCTCTTGTTTTAATGACCTTCTGCTCCTCCATTAATGAGGGGACCCCTCAGGCACGTAAAAAGTTGCCTAATTCCGTCATTTTCCACCAATGTGTCACTGGCCACCTCAAACAACTCACATCTTTGTCAGTGAAGCCGAGTGCTCCTACATCTCTTCCTTCATGGTCCCCATCTACATTAAGGTCCACAATTTTGTGATTAAAGTCAAAATTCTGAGAAAAAAGTCAGAATGCTGACTTTTTTCTCCATATTAAACTGAAAAAAAATTTAAAAAAACTTTTTTTTTCAGTGGCCCTAATCCTCTTCCGTAGA